TCGCACTATCAAATTATAATTGAAGTCTAAACTGGAATTCAAGGCTCACTCAGACCGGATGCAGCACGCGTGCGCGCGAACATTTCGAGTTGACAGTACATCGACACGGGCACGCTACGCATCTCCAATACTAATTCTGCACTCAAGCTCGCACGCGTTCGATCTGCGTTAGGTAGGTATTTAGTCTAATCTCGAGCCGCGTTGAGAGTAGGAACACAAATTGTTATAAAAAATAGAAAATTTGGCATTAGTTTTCTCTTTGAATTTGAATGTGACTTTCTTCAAGAGATTTTTGTAGATTCCTACTAAGAAATAAATGATTTGACTTCGGCTTTGACTTGGGCCACTCCAATAAGTCATAATCATAACTCACTCCAATAAGTCATGTCAACTCCATACTAAAATAGTTGTCAACAAAAGAAAATAGACCTTATGTCAAAGTATTAGCATGATTTTGACAGCTGTCAAATATGCCTTATTGGAGTGGTCCTAGATTAGTGTGGTAGGTTCACCTGTAGGTTTGGGAACAAAAACAAGAGCTTTTGCCTATCCAAACAATTTATTGCATTAAATCATAACAATGAAATCATATTTTTTAGGTAGGTATAGATATCAAAAATAGTTTCAAATTTCTGTACAACAATTCAAGAAGTTTTTCGAAGAGACTTATCCGAAAGATGACATTGTACGCCCTGCCATAGTAAATAGAAATAACTCTAAAAATATAACAACAAAGAACGCCATCCTTTGGATAAAATTCTTCAGAAAAACACATTAATGTTAGTTAATTAAATACTCAACTGAATATAATTATTTATAATTGACATGACATTTTCTTATTCTTAAATCTATGAGCATTTTTCTTATTGTCTTGATTGGTAACTTTTTATGTCAAAATTTTAGCCTAATAAAGCTGCTTAAAAATACTAATTCGAAATCAAAAGTAGGTAAAGTAAAAACTGGTTACTTACAACTTACAACTATTAATAAATTATAAAAATAATAAATAATGATAAACAATAAAATCACTGGACTTTAAAATCTGACCTGACTAAGCGAGTTGCACACTCATTATCAGCTTCTATATTGTATCCAAAAAACATGGTCTATTGAAGAGTCAAAGATGACCTAATGAAGGCTCCCGCAGACCGAACGCAGCAACCGTGCGTCCGCGCTAATTTAAGTGAAGGTGCACGCAATGACGCAACGCACCACCATCAAACATATTCATATTATTTCTGCACGTACACACGCGGTTTGCAGGAGCCTTAAGTATGAGTGTGTAAATAAAAGTGTGTACAGTCCAGCAAAAAAGAGTAGACAAAAAATGAGGGCGCCACTTTGTATCTTTCAAAATTAAATGGCATCATTGACTATAAATGGCAACAATTTAGTATGATTTTTTTAAATTCCATTTTATTTAGTTTCTACTATTTTTTGCTGGACTGTAAGTGACATCTAGAAGCAGGAAAGTTTACCGATTCCGAGTTTATTTAGCCCGCAGTTTATTCTAGAAGACCTCTTTCCTGAAGTTGAAACCGAACTGGTCACATTTGACGCGAAGAATTCTCGCCAATTGCGGCGGTCCGCAGTAGAACACCGTCACCTGTAATATGAAACAACATACATACATCACGTCTATATCCCTCCCTTGTGGGGTAGCCAGAGTGTACGAAACGGCTATTTAAACCCGTGATTTACACCGCGTCTGACAAAGTTTGAGAGTCATTCAGAAGACGATGTATCACTTTGACAGGCTGTTAGCCTGTCACCTTAAGTTGCAGTACCTAGGTACCTACACATTAGCTCTCAAATCCCTTAGAAGCTTCTTGGCACCCACGGAAAAGATATGGGGTGATGCTATTCTAACCCGACACCACACGGCACAGGTAGGTACCTACTTTATTTTTACGGGACAAAACAGACTATGGAACTGATTAACTATTCTCAGAGAACTTGGTCCCATACAAAACCACCCTCTTACATATCGCAGCCAGCCCATTAATATATATCTACCCACCCGATTAAGAGACCAACTTAGGTATACTGATTTTTCCTACAAATACCTACTAAGAAAACCCAGTATAAACTTTACTAATCCCTTAAGTTTGATGTATTGGCGAATGGTTGGTGATGGTATCAAATGGGATTCCTTTGGAAAAGTTGTTTTGTGTCATGTGTTCGTTGCTTACTTCTCCACCTGAAAATGTTTTCCTTTAAGAGCGCCACAGACCGGGCCCGTATGCGTAACGTGTACCTACCTACGTAATCACGCATGAAGCTATGATGTTGTATCATAACTACGCGTAGCGTGGTACAAACAAGACACCGCACACCACGCTCCGCACGTGATTACGCCGTGATTATGCGCACGTCACGCAGCCAGTGTGCGGCCTCTCATACGATCCCATAAAATAATATACTACGTCATCTCTACACGCGTGATCACGCCGTAATTAGGTAGGTACGTGCACCGCGTGCACGTCCACGCATACGGGCCCGGTGTGTGGTGCCCTTTATTTTCCTGAGACAATCCATTGCGGTCTGGTTTTTGTCCAGCAGTGACCGACTAACGGCTATTGATGATGGACATAATGATGAAAGACCCACCTTGCCTTTATGTTGCTCCTGCAGCTGTTGGAACACCTTGTCCCAGTTGGGGCGGCCGGCGTTCGTGCGAGTTTTCAGCCCAGTGATCAGATCCCGTTTCTCCTGTAAAATCCAACGTAAAATCAAACACACTCTTTTGGCTGTTTAAGGCTTTTTGATCGGATTGCCTTGAATGAAAGTCAAAGAAAATTAAAAAAACAAACTAATGTTGCCTGATTGAGAGTAATATCCTTAAATTAAGGGTATTTTTTTTAGCTATGGGAGGAGAGAATGATTGCCAAGACATCTCATTCAGAGGACAGGACAGATGTAGGAACAAAATCCAATTTTGGTGTAAAAGGAATACTTTGTTTAGAACCAAATGGGGTAAAGCTTTAACTTCGGCAGCACGATCTGTACCTATTAATGTGGCACTGCACTGTAAACAACGTGTTTCCGTTATTACTAATGGAACAATATAAATCGCGAAAAGTATACCCACGCTGACCAACATTCCGTTAACTTAGCTTGAAGCATTCGATTATTTAACTTAAATGGGAGTGGGGAATTTCAGAAAAGATTTGGGGAGATCGCGAAACATACATCTGGCAACACTGAAACTGTCAACGTCCGTCATTCATTCACTATATAACAACAGTGCTTTTTTTGGTATTTTTTGTAACTATTTTGTGATTATCATCCAAATATTACCACTGAATTACGATATTTACTTTGATTTTTGTATTCTGGAGGTGAGTTGATGTCCTAGGGCACCCCACTGGTGCATTCTGGTTCTGGGGTACAACTTCATAGCTACAGTTAGTTGCACACTAAACTGCATGATGAAAGTTTGCTTGTGTGTAACTCCGATCAAAAGTCTAGTTTTGTAACATTCTGGTAAGTAAAAAAAGCAATCCTAAACTAATGTTGATCTACGAACAAAAAGTTTATAGGTAGTTTGGTACGCGTATTTGTCTTTCTTTGAGTATTTTTGGTTAGTTTCACCTAAGGTTCATTTAACCTTATTGTAGGCTATATTATAGTGCTCCTTACTGGGCATCTCGGCTGGGCATGAACAAGTGGCTGGCACTAAAGGTGCCCACAGACGTAGGCTATAAATCGCTAGTGATGTTGCCGTTCGATAGATCAAAGACAATAGATTCCAAAAAACTTCCATATCAGATATAATAAAAATGCATTATTTTTGCCAGTTTCATATTTTTTATTATTCTAGTCATCAAGTTATTTGAGAATATACGTCTTTAGGTTATTTTGTAGCTGTAGATCTTTTATTGTGAATTATTTTACAAAAGTTTGTCGACGAACGAGAAATATATTTACCACAACACTAGCGGACTTATAGCTACGTATGTAGGCACCTTAATACGAACACAACCTCTCTGTTCATCAGTAGCGTAGTAAAATGACAGTGACAACACTATTTAACCTCTCTACATCTAATACATTTGACATAAGGTAATACCTTACACTTACACTTGATGGGGCGATACATGTACTCTACAGCTTGCTTTATGTATACTCTTCAGCCTATTAAAGGGCATGTTAAGCCATCAGTTCTGTTTGCTGTCTATGATGGCGATTGTTACACAACCATGTCAGAGGCCTGTTACATGTAGTAGGTGGTTGAAAAACTGACGCCAGAGTTCATCAGGTTATTGGACAACTTGGTGTCCTACTTGAAGAAAAAGAAGAAGTAAAACCAAATATGATTCCTGAACTTGCATTTAAAAGTAATCTTTACCTCTAATTTATTTCAGAAGCAGTAAAACTGTTCTAGTTTGCCCATTTATTCACATGTATGAAACAAGCACATCTACTGACGAAATGTCACAAGAAACAAACAAGAATGCAGATTCACATGCCGGTAAGTTATCATTCATTACTATTACAATACATGAACATCTACTACAGTACACTGCTGGCCTAGCCTCCAGCAATAGGGGATATAGCTAAAATCATGTAAAAACCAATAAAAATGCTTGGCAAATGGAATGGCAAGTGCAGTGCAATATGTTGCATTTAAAGATGGTAAAAAATTATTCGCCGAATAAATTTTTCCCGAGTAAAATATACTTAGACAAATTTGGTGAATTATTTTTGCCCATCTCTGGTTGCATTCACAGGGAATGCTGCAAACCTTTCCCTGTATTAATTTATCATTCAAATCCTGTGTGCCGTGGAAAGTTTTGCAAGTTTTCCAATAATTGTATACCTAACAAGGAAAGTGTTTTTAAACTTATTCAATTTATCGTAGGTTTTCGTTACTTTGACTACACCTGCAAAGAATTAATTAGTCGTTGGGAATTTGTTGCAAACCTATCCCGGTAGATGGAGCCCTGCCATGCGTTAGTGGCCAAGATATACTTGCTTATTTCGCAGGCTAGGGAAGAACCGCTGTAGCCCAACTGATAGTGGCATTGGCATTGCAGGTGCCGAAGGTTGCAGGTTCAATTCCTGCCTGCAGTAGTAAATTTTGCAAGTTTTCCAAAAAATGTTATTCTATGTCAGCATCACAAGTAGGTACCTACCTACATAAATTAAGTATAGTAACCAATCTTGGGACGATATGCCTTCAAAAGCATGGTTTTGTTCACATACAAAATCCTAACAATGCCCTAACCAAACAAGGAGTCAGGGAATCATCATACAGAGTGAAGATGTTTGATAAATTTTAAAATACAGGGTGGACCATAGAGTGACGTCAATAAAAAGAAACTAGATTCTTTACATCTTGGTGTATTCGAAACACCCCATGTATGTTCCGCGATTATTTTTAGTTTTTGAGTTATTCAACTTTTAAAGTTGAATGGAAAAAACTCGAATGGCAGACATTTTTTCTTTTTTTGTACGCTAAAAAGTACAAATCATAAAGATTGTGCTATGAAATCAACCGCGCGAAAAGTCGTTATACGGAAGTTAAAAAAAGAAAGGAATTACTGCCCTCGAGATTTTCCCATACAACTTTAAAAGTTGAATAACTCCGAAACTAAAAATAATCGCGGAACATACATGGGGTATTTTCGAATACCCGAAGATGTGAGGAATCTAATTTCTTTTTATTGACGTCACTCTATGGTCCACCCTGTATATAAGGTTTCTCTAAAGTGTGTGTTATACTCACAAAACTAAACAACTTTTGTAAGAAACTTATCTTCGAAATATGAAAAAAAATAGACATCCCACACTAAGTGCCACACTTTTTCAAGATTTTTATATGGGAGGCAGGGGCGTGCAGTCCATAAAGGCATAAAAGCACTGCCTACCCTGCCATTTTCACCCGCTAATAAGAATTCAATTTATTTAAGAACAATAATGTAACGTAAAATGGAACGCAATAAATGCCGTCTTACTTTTGCCTTTATTTCGCGCTACTAATCCCTTAACTCTCAAGTACGATATGTCATTCAAAATAAGTGGACTCGATCGCTGCCTCATGAACTCGCCCGATACCTCTAGTATGAATGTGAAATTAGCGTAAATACACTGTAAGTGTGAGCTCTCCGCACTCACACAAAGCTGAAAAATGTTAAGTAGTGTGTGAAAAGCAGCACCTGTACCACAGAATATAATATATTTGTAGCATTTTCGGCAACATTCCATTTGCATACGCTAAACAAAACGCAAAACAAAGCAACTAAACGCAATTAAAAAGTAAAATGACCATAGACAACCGCTCGCTACGTGCATGGGGGGTTTTGGCGCGTATAATCCGACCGATTTGTTGATACCTTTGTTTCAAACATTTATTAAGGAAATGAGATTCATTCAGGATTGAAAGTATTTTATTATGATTTAGGTTAGAAAATGCAAAATATTGTTTGTTTACATAATATTGTTTTCGTTGTTGTTTTATGCTGAAAAAAGTAGCAATTATAGATATTTTATAACGTATTATTAAATGTGCTTGACTAATAACGGTGTGATATTTGTTAAAAACAAGTTGTCTGAAAACAACTGATGTAGTAATGAAATGACTATGTTTACAAAAAGTTGAGACACCCGTTTCTGTAACTTTAAAGTAAATTTTTAATGTGTAAGTGTGATGCGATGATGATAGAGGCAGATTGTACAATTTGGATGGAAAAGCGCTCAGAAAAGGTAACACGACTTTAATTCATTCAACTTCTTACGACAGATGCGGCTGACTGGTATTGTTAGTGTGCATAGTTTATTTATTTTGTTGCAATGCACCGCACCGCACATAGTCGCAATTTGATGCGGCGACGACATGTGCCATAATGAAATCCAGTTTTTGCATGCGATGGTTTCTTATGAATCCGGTAAAACGTGCAGTGGAAAAAGATGCGGTGCGTATAAGATCCGCCTCGGTTCATATCTACTGCCTACCCAGAGATGAAACCCTGTGCACGCCACTGATGGGAGGGCCAAATTACTTTTTCATATTTTTGGAAAACTTCCAAAATTTTCACCGCAGGCAGGATTTGAACCTGCGACCTTCGGCATCAGTACTGCCGACGCCCTACCAACTGGGCTACCGCGGTTCTAATCGAGCCCGCGAAATTATGGAAGTATAATATCTTGTCCACTATCGCGTGGATGGGCTCCATCTACCGAGATAGTTTTGCAACTAATTCCCAGCGACTAATTCATTATTTACAGATTGAATGTCGTCAAAGCGATGAATTTGGAAGTTTTCCAAAAATTGTTTACCTAACACGAGAAGTGTTTTAAAATTTGGTATTCAATTAATCGCGGGTTTTCATCGCTTTGACTACATTCAATCTGCAAAGAATGAATTAGTCGCTGGGAATTAGTTGCAAAAACTATCCCAGTAGATGGAGCCCATCCACGCGTTAGTGGACAAGATATACTTGCTAAATTCGCAGGCACGATTAGAACCGCGGTAGCGTAGTTGGTCAGGGCGTCGGCAGTACTGATGCCGAAGGTTGCAGGTTCAAATCCTGCCTGCGGTGGAAAATTTTGCAAGTTTTCCAAAAATTGTATACCCAACACGAGATGTGTTTTAAAATTTGGTATTCAAAAATTGTTTACCTAACATGAGAAGTGTTTTAAAATTTGGTATTTAATTTATCGCGGGTTTTCATCGCTTTGACTACATTCAATCTGTAAAGAATGAATTAGTCGCTGGGAATTAGTTGCAAAACTATCCCGGTAGATGGAGCCCATCCACGCGATAGTGGACAAGATATACTTCCTTAATTTCGCGGGCTCGATTAGAACCGCGGTAGCCCAGTTGGTTAGGGCGTCGGCAGTACTGATGCCGAAGGTCGCAGGTTCAAATCCTGCCTGCGGTGAAAATTTTAGAAGTTTTCCAAAAATTGTTTACCTAACACGAGAAGTGTTTTAAAATTTGTATTCTACTTTTTCATATTTTGAAGAAAAGTTTCTAACAAAAGTTGTCCAGTTTCGTGAGTAGATCACACCCTCAAGAGATTTGTACTTAATTAAATGTAACTGTATATGTACACATAATATTTGCCCTGTGATCATTTTCCTTTATAACCCTCGAACTATTGGAGGCTCAGAATAAAAATAATCATTTTGGAACTCATTTAAATTCTAAACATTATTTTTAATTTATTTCAGGTAATACCTTTAACTCAAAAGAATATTTATTGAAACAAGGTTTTGACGATGCTCTTGAAAAATTATTAAACGAAAGTTTAAACATAAATGCAACCTTCGTACGGCCAACGGAATATATAAACGAACTTATTGAGGGTATTAAAATGTCTCAGGATCCTGTTAAAATGTGTCGTGAATCCAAGACAGTGTTTGAGATTGTAGACGAACATGGTTTTCAGACATTACTTCTAAAATGTGATAAGGAGGGTAATGTTGTTTATAAAATAGCACCCCTTGAGAATCTTTATGATATTTTAAAATTAGCGCATCTAAAAACACAGCATTGTAGTCCTATACAATTGCTAAAAATATTACAATTTCAGCAATATTTAATTCCGTTGTCAATTATCGAGATTTTTTGCAAATACTGTCCAGTTTGCGCTTTAAATACAACTCAATATAATATTTTCGAGACCCGGGGTCGCGTTGAACTCATAAATATGGAAAATTTGCCAGATGGTGAATTTAAATACATATTGTATTATCGCGATTATTTTTCATGCATGACACTTTTACGCCCTTTAATGACAATAACTGTTGATGAAATTGCCTTAAATTTGTTAAAGATATTCTTGGAATTTGGCTGTCCAATAATTCTGCATTCGCAACTAGGAGAAATATTTACAACAGCTATTGCTGAAAAAATAGAGTTAGTTTGGCCAACGACTTGCAAAATACTGAAACAGAGACCGGAATATAATTCTATGACAGAACTAGTTCTTAAACATGTCAAAACTGTTAAAGAAAGATTAGATTGCTGGATGGCTATAAACGACTCGGTTTGCTGGTCCATTGGCGTTTACTTTGTCCAATACGAATTGAACTCAGTCCAGCAAGGATTGTTCCATGACCCATTTAGAGTACTAATCGATAGAGAACAAAATCTCAGAAAATTGGTAGGAGAAGAAGATCTTTTAAAAATGAAAATAGAAGATGATCTCAAAGAATATTTAAAAAAAACGAAAAACAAATTTGGCACCCGACCGCATAACGGAACCCAACAAAATAAAACTACTCCAACACAAGCAAATGATTCATATTCACCTACCACACATGATAAAAACAATGATCAACAAACATCAGAAAAGTGTGGGTATTATATAAATATAGTAAAAAGAAGTATAACACCTGAAAAAACACAGCCTAAATATATAAATAAAAATAGTATCCGTATCCCGAAAAGAAAATTGGCACATGAGACTAAAACCAACCAAAGTTTATCGAAAACTAGTGTAAATGAAAAAGCTGTCACGCTAATTAATGAATCAGATTGCAAAAGACTGATAGCTAGTAGAACACATCTCAATGAAAAATCATGGCCTGCTATAAATTTCTTTTTCGAAAAAGTAAACTCTGAAGCTTCTAAAGCAATCGAGAAAAGTAGTAAAATTAAACAAGCAAACAATGAAGAAAAATGCATCGGCAATAAAATAGAAACTGGTGACAACACATGCAAAATAAAAGATACAATTATACCACACAAAAATTCACTCAAAGAATATTTTCCGAGTAATAATAAACGTGCCAAACTTAACAACACACTGCCTACGGTAAAACCACTCGAGGAAATTGACGTAATAACAAATAAAGAATCAAGCGCTGTTTGTAATACATTAGAAAGTAAACCGAAGGAAAGTGATACTTTAAGTTTGATTAGAAATAATATGAATAAAGAAAGACCTATAACCAAAACGACAGATCTAAAAAAGGAGTCATTGTCACTTGAGAAATCAGTCACTCAAGGTCAACCAAACTACAGAATTTTGAAAACAAATAACGAATCATATGAAACAAAAGATATGGATAAGGTTAAAGATTCTAAAATCAGTAAAAAATCTGTAGGATTTACAGAATTTAACAAGACACCAACGCCTACAGAAAAACCACTTGATGAAGAAGAAACAATGAAACACCAAGAATTGAACAAAGTTAAATTAGGGAAAAATAAAAACCCAAATGAAAATATAGATTTGATTAGAAATGATACGGATATGGAAAGACCTATGGCTAAAACGACACAGCTGGAAAGTGAACATGTAGAATTAATTGAGTATGAATCAGGCATTAATAAAAAATCAAGTCTAAATAATGTGATAGCTTTAAATATGAATTGTAAAAGACCTATAAGTATTAGATTAGAAATAGAAACCAACGAAGAATCATGTGAAAAAAGTGAAAATAAAAACGTAGGTTTGATAACAAATGATATGATTAGCACAATAAAACCACTCGAAAGTAAACATATGGAAACATCTGAAATTAATAATGAGCTAGGAAAAAATAAAAAACCAAGTAAGACTGATGATATTGCAGGTTTGATTAAAAATGATATAAATTATTGCAAAAGTCCTGTGGCCATAACAACAGATTCAAAAAATACAGAAATATCGCCTACACTTTTTGAGGATATAGAAATAATTACTCATAAGATATTAATTGATGAAGAAAAGCATAACAACAGCAATTCAGATATGAATGACGAAAAAAATAAAATTGGAAACATGAAAATGTTTACGGCTGACGATTTAGAAGTTTGTAGACGACCTGTAGCACAAAAAACATATGTGAGGAGTAAAAAAACGCAGAATCCTTTAGTGGTTTTACCTCGTGTGTTCATAAGTTTTGACACGAAATAAAACTTAGATAAAAAATTAAACAATAAAGGTATATTTATGAAATTTGCAGGAAATTATAAGTGGATTATAACTATAAATTAGAAGTAATAATTATTCGAAATGGCCGCCTTTATTCTTACTGCAACTCCTTAGACGTTCAGGCCACTCATCAATCGCGGCACGAATCTTTTCTAGAGGGATTCGCTTCGCTTCCCTGACGAGGGCTCGCTTCAGAGATTTCAGGTTTGGGTGAGACTTTCGGCAGGCCCTGAGCTCTAACTCAGTCCACAAAGAATAGTCAAGCGGGTTGAGATCAGGACTAGACCATTCTTCCACCGAGATGAACCCCGGTACATTTTCCCTTAACCAGGCTTGAGTTGTTTTTGCTTTATGAGACGGCGCTGAGTCTTGCTGGAAAATCCATTCCTTGCCCTTGAAAAGGGTCTCAGATAGGGGCTTCACGACAGCCTCTAAAATATCACTTTGATAATTTTTTGCTTTACACTTGACCCCTTGTTGGCAAAAATGGAGCGGAGTGACACCTTCATATGAGATCCCCCACCATACCATCACACTAGCGGGGTGATGGGTACGCGAGACATTTCGTGCTGAAGCTGGAACATCCTTGCTACTTTTAGCATAAACTTTATTGTTTTGACGGTTATATTTTTCTTCAACTGTAAAGATTTTTTCATCTGTGAAGAGTATCTTTTTCGGATCGTACGTCTTAAGCAACATTGGACAACGTTCGCGTCGCAATTTACGAAGGCGATCGTTTAAGAAATGAACTTTTCTACGACTGTACGCCTTTACCTTGAGATCATATTTCAGTATTCTGTTGATTGAAATACGCGATATGTTAGTCTGTAGAGCAAGTTTCTTCTGGGTGCGGCATGGATTTCGGCGAAGCCGCTCTCTTACCATTTTGATATTCGCAGCCGTCCTTACAGACCGCGGCCGACCACTTCTTTGCCGATCTTGTAAAGATTTTGTATCCTTGTAACGTTTTATAGTGTAATACACAAAGTTACGACTGATCCCAAAACTTTTAATTTCACGAAAAATCTCCATTGGTTTTTTTCCCGCCAAATGAAGCGAAATGACAGTCGCACGTAATTCTTTTGTTCCTTCCATATTGAAAAACCAATAATAATGAATAATAAAATCAAGCGGACAGAACGTAAAACATTCCAAATTCAAATTTGGAACAATAAACTCGCAGCTGCCAGGTACATTTTTAGGGTTTCGTAGTCTACTAGAAACCCTTATAGTTTCGTCAAGTCTGTCTGTCTGTCTGTCTGTCTGTCTGTCTGTCTGTCTGCCGCGCCCTCATATCTTCGTCAGTTTTAAAGCTATCGACATGAAATTTGGTGAGAAAATAGATCGTGTTGACCCAAATATAGAAATGTTAAGAAAAAATTATATTAAATGTTTTTTGGACCCCCTCACATCCAAGTGAAAGGGGGGCAAAAACATTTTTTTTCTTTTGTAATATTGAGTAGGGTATCGTTGAATAGGTCTTTTAAAACTAAGGTGAAGTTTCTTTGAAACAAAGTCACTAAAATGTTTCTGTCACGAGATATCTGCGTTTAAAAAGGGCGTTTTTGACCCACAATTTGTTCCAGCTGTAACTTCTAAAGTATAAACGCTAAAAATTTGAAATAAATATGGAATATAGCTTACAATCTGAAGTTACAATGAAAACTATAACGGATATTGTACCCCTAAAGGTTTCAGAAAAAAATGAGTTTTTCTATTTGCGGTTGGTCATCATATTGCTGCTAACAAACCGGCAACAAAATTAAGTTTGTAATGCTGAAAAACCTGATATTTAAACGTTGACTACGAAACCCTATTTGTGAGCGTGTCTGACACGCTCTTGGCCGCTTTTTTTCATTTCTTTTTAATAAAATGTTTGTCGTTTGTCTCAAAACTTATGAACATACGAGGTGGAACCAATAGCGAAAACAAAATCAATAATTTAAGGATGAATTGATCGACAAAAGTAAAATGACCCAAACGCTAAAGAAAATAAAAACTAAAATGGCGAACACTAATAATATTGATCTGAAAGAAACACTGCCAAATTTAAAACCACATGAATTTGTTGAAACAATTGAAGTACCCGAAGAAGATACAATTGAAGTACCCGTAGAATCGATCGAAGAGAAATGCATGTGGATGCTCAAGAATATCAAAAATGAAATGGCACATGAACCAAAACTTTACTACGAAACATCAGAAAATGATGCCGAGACAAGCAGAAATGAGAAAAATCTATTACTCATTGATGCTGACATGAACGACAACAGTAATGGTGTTGACACAGATGATACTTATAGATGATAACATAGGTAGTCTGAATTTTGATACCATGAATTTTTTTAACGGTGACGACATACCTAAACAAAATTTATGAAGCAAATACTGTGAATGACGAGAATATTGATTGTATATTGAGACGCATGGTGGATTTAAAAAAGTGACGTGAACAAACAAAAAGGGTTGTTGTGTTCAAAGTAAAATTATTCTCTAGTGCTTGGTAACGTTATAAATGGGTCTGTGGTAATAATATTGTTAATGATAGTTTTAAGTAGGCCTAAGTAATTAATTAGCATTTTTTGACGGACAAAATAAACGTTTTTGACAATAAATTTATTTTCATGTAGAGATTTTTTTATTCCTGAAACACCAAGAAACCTACTTACATCGGTAACGACAGCCGATGTGGCGCAGTGGTTAGTATGCCTGCCTGCCACGCAAAGGTTCCGGGTTCAATTCCCGGTGGGGTCACTCACAAAGTTGATATTTATCACTTTGTGAATTGTTCCCAGTCTGGTTAGGACATTGCAAGCTGAACCACCTGATTGTCCGCAAGTAAGATGGTTCCGTGCTTCGGATGGGCACGTTAAGCCGTCGGTCCCGGTTGCTGTCTATGATGGCGGTCGTTACACAACCATGTCAGAGGCCTGCTACTTGCAGTAGGCGGTTGAAAAACTCTGACACCAGGGTTCATCGGGTCGTTGAACGACACGGTGTCCCACACGAAAAGAAGAAGAATCGGTAACTCGATTCCGTGTTTTAGGTAAGTTTTAGATTTATCATGTACCTACCTATAACAATTTTAGTTGATGGGTTAACCTTATAGAGAAGTCGAAACATGTTCTTTCCGTAATTTCAGAAAATAGTTCATCACTATAGAGAGTCATCATCATCTTCCTGCCCTTATCCCAATTACTTGGGGTCGGCGCAACACGTTTCGTTGAACACAAAATCGTGCTGCAAAAGGATTTGGCTGAATTTTACGACCGGCCGCCTACCAGACGTCAACCCTCTTTGGGAATGCTTTTGTGGTGGATTAACCGCCACCATACGGTTGGCCCTGGCTGATTGGGTCGGGTTATCCCTCGGTCGCCTCTTACGACCCCCACGGGAACAGAGGGGCTGGTGCTATTCTATTATGCCGGCACCACACGGCACTATAGAGAGTAATGATATTAAATGTAGGTTCTAGATAGATAGGTTGCCAGTAGCTTAAAATTGTTACACACGTAGAACCCTCAAGTGTCTTAATCGTTTCTGATGGTACAGATTTTACACATAAGTGGTAGCTCAAGACATCGTCTATAATTCCTACTTGTGGGTTTTGTAACAGGCGACTAAGGGATAAATGGATAAATCTACCGGGAGTAACGGAAAGGGTATAACAAGCCAAAAGGAGGTCAAGGTACTCATGAAACTGAACAACTTTCGCAATGGAACATGGGTCGAAATATGAAAAAAAAATTTGGACCTCCCATAGTAAATCAATTAGCTCATTCTATTGGGATTGTAATGCACTCACAGTGCTAGCTCATTGGCGATTTTGTATGGGAGGTTAAAATTTTTTTTTTATATTTCGACCCATGTTCCATGGGGAAAGTTGTTCAGTTTCATGAGTACCTTGACCTCCTTTCGGCTTGTTATACCCTTTCTGTTACTCCCTGTAGATAATGGGCATATTCTTGTGGATATCCACAGTATCTTGCACAGCGGTCGCCAATCTGCCGCAGTGAGGTGTGGCTGTTTTAGTAATTTAGTATGACACTATATCTAGGAATCTATTGGGATTGTAATGCACTCACAGTGCTATATTATTCTCACAAGTGAAAATAAGAAATAGAAAAAATTACATGCATCGACCGGGGATCGAACCCGGGCCATCCCGAGCTGCATGGGTAAACGCCCCACCTCTCTGCCGCTGAGCTATCGATGCACCGGCTGATGAACAAATTTTTCTATCTCTTAATGCTCGTTTCCAAGCGACGATCCAGCGACATCTGTAGAAAGTATTTAGTATCGTCGCTTTGAGACGAGCATCAAGAGATAGAATATTTGGCGTTCATCGGCCGGTGCATCGATAGCTCAGTGGCAGAGCGGTGGGGCTTGTACCCTTGCGGCCCGGGTTCGATCCTCGGTCGATGCATGTCATTTTTTCTATTTCTTATTTTCACTTATATCTAGGAAGTAAAATCGTCCGCATACCTTTTCGTGCAACAGATCCAAAGCCAGTTGCAGACCAACAGCTTTCATATCCGTCTTCTGCAGTGCGCTGGTGATGTACATGTGCATCTCAAGGAATCGTTCTGCACCACCAAGCTCGGCTTGTTCGATCTCCAGCTGCGAGAGAAGAGAGACGAACCACTCGAAGGAGCGCTGCTCGCGGTTTATCCAGAAGAAATCCACCTGGTGAAGGAAAGTTTGAAAGTGGAAATATTGTAAGGTCTGTGGCAAGTAATCTCGTTGTTCTAGAGTTGTGTGTTGGATTCGGGATTCCTCGCTTCAATTCCACATAAAATTATGCGTTATTATATTACTTAGCGATTTTACTGGAAAAGGGTATTACAAAAAACTCTATCTAAATCCATTGCGTGGCTGAGAAGGAGGAAGGAGAAACACAAAAAGCTACTTCACTTTATACTTAAGTATGTATTGAAGAATTTTCCAGCATCCTCACGCTCTAACTAAGCCTGAGGATTTTAGTGGAACAAAATGACATTAACGCCTATGTTGGCGAGGTATACCAGGTCATAGCTTCTACCAGATCCGGGATGCGGGATCTATGATTCTGCTAAAACGATAGATGACGACTCACCTTCCGAAGACTCATAGTGTTTTGGGGCAAATCCTTCGCCCACGTATGACTGCACTTGGGGCATGTGGTCCGTTGGCTCCAGTACCGGTACATAATGGACTGCAGGATGGAAGCGAAGGGCGTGACTCCAATCCCTGCAGCTATGAGGGCCGCGTGCTGCGCGCGGAAGATGTGCGACGAAGCTGCGCCATACGGGCCGTCCAAGTAGATCTGGAGAGGTTAAAGTTTTTGGTCAGTATTAGTGTTGATGAAGAACCTGATATGAGGAAGCGGAAGAGGAAGCGACAGGCCCAAAGATGGAGGAAGCGGATAAAGATGAGGATTTATTTATTGAACAGGATGCGGATGAGGAAGAGGAAGAGAAAGTTGTTGAAGGAGAATTAAAACGATAATAGAGAAAGAGAAAGATCAATTCAGTTCAGACTTTGTGCAGTATTTGAGTGATTCTTTCAGTTCGTTCAAATCACTGTCCGGATCATAATTTGGTACTAATATTGACATTGAACTAAATATTTTGATTGAATTTGTTTACTTATAAAGTAAACTAAATGATGCATTTATTGTATTTGGATTAGATACAACAATTAAAAAAAGTTCTGAACAAGAACTTCCCAAATCTTCATTACCCTCCGTGTCCAAACGGTACCACGAAAAAGGTTTTAATTATTTCTTGGATTTTCTTATGTAGAAGGATTATTTTTTTGCAGTGAAGTACTTTGAAATTAAAAATAATTCGTTTCATACCCTTATTAGCAACCTAACAAATCGATCACTACTCACGCGCACTTCAGTCGCCCCCACTGCCGAGCCGAGAGTGGACGTGTATAATATAGAAATGCAAAAAATTTACGTTCTTTCGTGCGGAGATGACGTTTGTCACAGGTGAGTGTTCATTATACTCCAATTATTTGACAAGTAAGTGTTTGAGATAAAATTAAGGTTTTGACTTTAATTCGTAGTACCTATACAGGGATGTTATACTAGGTTGTATTCGTTGTCTTCTTTTTTTAACTAGAAACAGAAATATCTTAGAAAAACTGCTGAAACTTCATTCCTCTCCGTTTCATTACCTTCCATTTCCTCAAAATTTTACGTGGAAATGAATGAAGCTGTTTTGGAAAGTAATGATGTTTTTTGTAACAAGTGTTGAAGTGGGCCGTTTTCGCCATCCAGTGGCAACCAGTAGCTTATTTTTATGTCATTGGTCCGTCCATCTAGCCGGAGGGCGTCCAATGCTACGTTTTCCAAGGTGTCGCTTCCACTCGAGAACCCATTTCTTCTTCTGGCGAGTCGACAGCAGATATTTGTGTATGTGGCGACGCGGATAGCTTCGTCGGAAGCGTTCCACAAGTCCGCCAACGTGCAGGTGTCAGAACACGCTGGGCACACTTCGGTTCTTCGACAGATGTGTTCAGCCTACTGCCACTTCAATTTTGCTGCACTTTCAGACTTTGTAAGTTACTTTGGTCTTTCCATTTTATCCATTGGTAATGGTTAAACGGGCTGTTTTCCGTTACTCGACGTCTACATGCGCCTATTTTGCATGAAGGGTGAGGGTTCACTACTCCAGCCATCCTAGTTCCCCGAGGAAGCTCAGCAACCCTACCAAATCACTGAGTGCCTCAGGAACTGACCTCGGGTTTCCGAGGTGCTTTGCGCTGTACGTTACCACCTCTTTGCAGTGTAGCAGCACGTGGGCAGCTGTTTCTTCTTCTTCCATACAGGCTCTGCACAGAGGAATGCCAGTAACTAACATCTATGACTGAGAGGGGCATAGGTGAAGGGGCCTTCGACAAAACGAACTTCACCAGCATTGGCGTAGCCTCTACATCCACGAGGTGAACAACTTTCTGACGGAATGGATCACAATCAAACGCAAACGCAGTGTCAGATTTGCAGGTAAAAATCAAACAGCTATAATGACAAGAGGCTGCCCATAGGGAGGTTATCTCACCACTACTGTGAAACATGGTAATAAACAGTCTTGTCACGGAACTCGACGCAAACCATTTCTTCACTATAGGATACGCTGACGACTACTTATAACCGGTAAACCGGTAAGTTTACCAGTACAGTCTACGACCTCACGCAAGCGGCGCTACGCATAGTGGAACGCTGCTGCACCAGGTACGCCCTTTCAGTCAATCCAACAATAACTGAAACAGTTATATTCACGCTGTAACGGGTTTTGGGCTACTACTACCTACCATAACTGTTCGGGACGAGACTACAGCTTACAAACGAGATCAAGTATCTAGGGATAACCCTTGGACCTTGACCACAAATTAAAACAAACTGAACAAAGCTTGCATCGCTTTCTGGCAGTGCCGCAGGATGATCGGCAAGAAATGGGGCTCTCGCTGAAAAATATTCTGTGGCTGTACATGATGGTAATGCATCCGATGGTGTGCTACGGTGCACTCGTATGGTGGACAAGTGACAGGTATCAACAAACTACAAAGTTCCAAGGTAAGCCTGCATGGCGATTACGGAAGATATGAGGAAGACTCCAACTGCAGCCTTAGAAGCCATGCTGGATCTACCGCCGCTTCACCTGTATGTCAAGCTGGAGGCAGTCGCGGCTGCAGTAAGACTCAATTTTTAAAACTCTGCTATTGCCATTGCTGCCAGGGAAGTAAAGGGACACTTCATTCGTATAATCTTATACAGCACGTCGATGCAAGCACTGAACAGTCACACAATTACATCAGGCTAATCTGCGAAAGCCACCAACGCCTGATGGAGTATGTAAACACAACCACGTAACTCTACAATAGATCAAAGGACACAGCGGCATTTGAGTTAACGATGCAGCGGATAAACTAGCCAGAAGGGGATCGGATACATCGGTATCCCCTATAGCCTATGGGTCGGGACCGATTTTACCCATTCCAGCAGGTAAATTCCGCTCCCTGCTGAGAGAACGCACTAAAAACGAGACGTCTAATTGCGGAAAACAGCCCTTATAACCATTCATCATCATCATTGGCCTCATACGTCTGTGTCAGACGATTCATTCAGTGTTTCAGGCTAGACTCCTCACGGCTGTACAAGCCGATACGGGAGCGGCATTTTGCACGCTCTCAATCATTACACTGCGTTGCCTGGGACGCAATTATGGAGAACCTGCGCCACCCTCTCGGCCTTGCTGGCTGACTCCACAGGAACGATGGGTCGATACGTGCGGAGCCAGGTCGGCTGCAGGAGTCTGCCGCACGATTTATTACCACTCACTCGCGCCTGATGGAGACCCCGATCCGGGTTTGTGTGTGAAGTTTTCCTTCTCCGGGACCCTAATTCACTTTTTATTGGTTGGTTAAGCGTGAACACTGTCAAATGGCTAAAAACTACATAAATTAAAAAACTCTTGCAATAAATCCTAACAAATACTAAAATTCATAGCAAACCCATATCAACTCTCAGTATATTTCATTACTTTCCAAATACAATCATTACACTTTCTCAATTTTCATTACCTTCCTAATATCAATCATTACACTCTCCATATTTCATTACCTTCCCAGCGCTCATTACATTCCATCACTTTCCATGAAAATTAAGGCTTTTCCATGAACGCCTTTCCCGGTAACATTTTCATAGGACGTATACGATTACTCTTATTCATAAACTACGTCAAAACGGGGACAAAAAAAATATTCTTCGAAATCTGTCCGATTTGAACGAACTGAAAGAATCAGTCATTTATAAAGACAAAACTTCTCGAAATATATGTGGCAGTGGAAGAGGAAGAGGAAGATTCAAAATTATTTTGAGAGAAAGCGGTACCGGATGAGGAACCGTCATAATTGCGGAACTTCCGCATTATGAGTATGCGGAAGAGGAATCCTCATCAACACTAGTCAGTATCTATTGTAGTCACAGGGTCATCCACCATCGACAATCACAACATTCCACTGATGGACGAAATCTAAATAAGGAAGTTTTTAAAAATGTCAACGGATCGGAATCGAAATGTGCTAGAACAGAAGGTTCTACAGGTTTTAGTTAGAGTATCTCTGGAGTACAGTGACACCGGCAAGAAAGGTTGTAGAGTGGCACCGAACTTGAAGGCTTTTGAGTGGCAGTCTGTGAAACGGGGTTGGAAGATTCTGAAGTGACAC